AATGTCCACTGCGAGAACCTTCCGGAATGTTCGCACTAAGCGGGAGGTGATGAGGCTTTCTGGGAGTCCGCCTGCAAATATTCCTGCAAATATGCAAATATATGGACAACAATCAGACCTGTTGTCTTGCTCTTCAAAATTTGACTGAAATTGTGTTACTGTTGCCATTGAAACAATGATATCACCAGGGCACTTACCTTCAAGATATGGCAAAACCTGGAAGTGGGAGCATCAGGAGTTGTATTCTTGATAACAGTCAACACATATTTCTCCACTTGCTAAGAAAAAATGTCAGGGCAAAATTGACACATGGGAATGCCACATACCACAATGTCCTTCTTTGTTAAGAACTTTAAGCTATTGAATCCTACGATAGTGCGATTCTCTACATCAACAATCATCAGCACCCAGTGAGTGTTACTCTTATTGCATGGAAATAACAAGTATTGATGTTGATTCTTCGCCTGTGAAAATTTAACATTTAGCTCCGAATATAGTCCTAAAAAAGATGTCAATGTGCACATCAAGAGGGCACCTTGCAGTAGATGATGGTGATGTGAATATGACCATGTCATATGGCGTGAACATGTAAGTATTTGGGACGCTGTTATGCACCAAAGTTGATTGGTAGCATGGACAGGTGTCAATAACAAAGTGAATATTCAAAAAGACTTGCCTTTGCGCCACACAGGCACAATGCCACGTGGAATAGTAATTAATATTGCCTTTTTTGAACTTGTGGCTGATCAGCATCACCTCTATTAGGCAATCCAGTCACGCTCACCTTTGCTTTTCCATTCGGTACTTTCCGCATTTCGGCATTTCGGCAAATTTTTGCGTCGCCACTGGCTACACATTGCATTGCACCCCCGCTTTTGTCGTTTCCTTCACTTCCCTTCCTTTGCCTAGCCCCACCATGGGCCCCTTCCTCTCCTTTGTATTCTCACCTGATGGTCGTTTCTGGATCCCCATTCTAATCCACTTTTCCGTCACCTCCACCCTCCTCCTCCTCATCTTATTTGCACCCCCACCATTTTTGATGTCACCACTTCCTATCCGCTTCCGTCGCCGATCCGTTGACTACCACGTGCCACTGCTGATATCAGCAAAGCCCCGGTGGCCGGTTCAAATAGGGCAACAGGTCCATTTTTATGACATCGATCTACCATCATATACTATCAAAACATCGGTCGCTTGTCTTGCCTGGTTGGAGCGTGGGTGGGTAGTTTTTGAGCTGGAGAAGGTTCATCCCCTTGCATCGCCCATGTTCATCGCTGTTCCATTCACTTGGGTACACTTATCTTTTGTCCATCGTCTTCGCTACAGCTACACCTACCATACGCTGCCTGGGACTCACTTGTTCCAAATTGGAACTACTCCTCTCCCTCCCTTGTTTGATCAGGTGGTCCAACACAACCAGTCCATTGGTAAGGCTATAGAACCATTAGATTTGGACTAGGTGGTGGACTGGTGGCTCCAGTTTCTTTTTTTCAGCAGAACATTCATTTACAGTGCAATTATTTTTGATTTTGAATCATTTTTATGGACACATATTTTTTTAGAATGTCTAACTGACAATAAAGGAACTGTGTTGATACTGATAGTGTTTTGCCTTGCCCTTTTTTTACTACATCTTCCCATGACATCATGATTTTCCTGCTCTCTTTTTGCTATTGGACTTTACTTTATGGCTTTACAAACCTGTGACATTACTTACACAGTATTCATTGTTCTATCCCTTTCTCTTCCTTTTTTTGACAATCTTATCCTGTACTACCTACACAGGATTTGTCAGCGTACATTCCTTCCTTCATGTTCTTTCTCATTCTTTTTGCACAGCTATACTGTGCATAGCCTACTTTTCTTTTACTATATAAACCCCTGTATTCTACCTTGTAAAAGAACAAGAACTCGATTCCAGACTTCTTCTCTAATTTCAAGTTCACTACTCTGCTGCTTGTGATCCAGTGTGGTCACAACACTTCCCACTGCTACTACTGTTAACTGCTGTCATTGTCACTTCCCACTTTTGAAGTCATTGTCATCCCTTATCACTGGGAACCTCATCACCTTGTCATCTTGTCGTTCTCAAACCTACCTTGTGCTACTATTAGCAAGGTAGTGCTCATCTATACTCGTCACTAAGCCCCTATCTTTCTATATTCCAACTATCCCTCCTCCTCAAAACCCACACCCATACATCTTTGGGTTTTACTTTGAAGGATCCTTATACATACCACCTCACAAACAACCAGAGTACCCACTGTTCTAGGAGGCAAAGCCCATAAACAAGTTCCGTGGAATCTGGGAGGATTGTGTGTTAGTTTGTTTTTGTGTGTGGTTTTCTAACAGCAGTTCTCATCATCGACACCGGGTTGTCTAAGATGAGCACCCTGTAATGTACTGACCCAGCTGGGTTGTCTAGGATGGGTAGTGTCTCACCCAGCCGGGCCATCAATGATGGGCACAATAATATCACGTCTAACATGGCCTAGCTGGCACACTCCGCCAGACTCCTCTGGCCTCTTCTAGATAGTAATATCATCAGGTAATATTGCCCCACCTAAGATGAAAGGTTATTACTATATTATGTGGAGCACCTTAGTACTGCTGGCAAATGTAGATGCACTGGAGGGATAGGTTGTTCTGTTGTGGAGGTGAATAACCTCAACACATTCTCATCAACAATAAGTGCAAATACAAGGGAAGACAAAACTGTAGAAGAGGGTGAGGACAAGTAGCACTCCCCCTACAATTCTGATGATGAGAGCTTCTTTAGTAACACAAAACCCTTCAGACCAGGACATGTTAGATGTTTGTAGTGGTCAATGTATGCATTTAGGATTGAGTGAAGATGAGTTGGGATTGGGGTGGAATTGCTGGCACTGGGAGGAGTGATTGGTAACAGTTGAGCTGATGGTGACATGGGAGAATGGTGATGATAATGTATAAAAGTGCAAAAATAAGGAGTAATTTTGGATAATATATTGATAAAAGGTTGATGCTCTACTCCTATTGTTGTGGAGAAAGGTAACTGAAGGGGCGGTGAGGATTCAATCTCCCTTTCATCCTCCTGACTATCATTGCAAATAGTGTGTATAAGTGTGCAAATAGTGTGTATAAGTGTGCAAATAGTGTGTATAAGTGTGCAATTATGGTGCATGAGTGTGCAATTATTGAGAGAAAGTGTCAAAGCGGTGATGGCATTGATAGGGGAGGGTGGAGAGTGTGAGTTATTGATGTTTGATGGTAATGTAACAACCAAGAGTTTGTATACTCTGGCGCACAACTCAAACAAGCAGTAATGAAGTGAGTGGGAGTGATTACCCCTTAGATAAGACCGAGTTTGTTGTGGGTAAACAACAGAAGGACTCGTTAAGAAGTCTCCTTGATCTATTGGGGTATATATACTACTACAGACTATTTGTACATGTATACTATACAGTTGATGAATGTAGTGGCTGATGATGTCATGGAGCAACACACTGTGAGGATTGACTTATAATAGCTAGACTTGCAGTGTGATCTTACAGTGAATTTTTTTGTAAAAATATACCAATTATATCTAAGGAAAATATAAAGCAAAATATTAAAATATAATCAATAATATCATTTGCCTGTCCTTACAGCTTTGAGTCTGGAATTCATAGTAAAATCATTATACTACTGTCTCATATATTATATAGAAAATATTTACAAAATGATCATGTTTGAGGCAAGCAACATAAAGAGAATATTTTGTAGATAATATTAATAAAATTATCCAATTATTCAAGGATCCACTTTAAATTGCATTATCATTAATCCCAAGCATTTATTATAAAACATTTCAAACTCACATCTTCCTTATATTTTGCCCTTATCCACAGCATTTTTTTGAAATTATCTCTAATTATCTTCCAGCCTGTTTTCATCCTTAAACTGCAGCTTTAATTCACAATCAAAGCTGCAGTCCAATGATGAACATGTCACATGCGACATAATTCCTTGTGTGACTATTTTCCTGAAATTTGATTGAATCCTGCCAGCTGAGTTGTTCCAAATCTTATCTAAATGTTTGTTGTCATTACACCATCATCATGGTGCCTAGTGCAAATTTGCAATCTAGAAATATGAAAAAGCTTAAAATAGGAGTATACATGTGAATATATAGACAAATGACAACATATCATGGAAATCAATGATCAAGTGACTCATTAGCATGTAAGAAATGCTGCATAAGATCCATAATCAAGATTGGTGTTGCACATAATATATTTATTGTCGCTTTTTTGCTTTTTTGCATATTTTCACAGACTCAAACAGATATTTGGAGTATCAGTAAGATGAATTCAGCAAAATGGACTTAGCAAAAATCAGTCACAATAAGTGTGGATTAATATAGTAATCATTAGCTATATGCGTCATCATACCAGTATACTATCATATATACCACCAATGGTTCTACCATCACCTCAAATCTTCACATTGACTCCCTCATCCCAGCTTTGATAGTTCCCAATTACCAAACCACAAGCAGCTGTGGTAAGGTGTCCACATACACCACTGGTACCAATTATTCCCCCACCACTGAAAGCACCTAGCAAATGAATAGTGCCAACAAAGGCTTTCACACCAATGTCAACTTTTAATCCCCCTAGCACTTATTTCTAATAAATTTTTACAGGAATTTCTGTGCTACCAAAGAGTGTGCAAACAATCCAGCTTAATGACACCAGTGACAATTCATGCAGTATTGGAACAAATTGGTGGTGTACAGAAAATAGGTTTGTTTGTTTTCTACAAAGATATGATTAGAATTTAGGAATATTGGTTAGAGGTGTCACCATGGGGCTTCTACCATTGGCTGGGCCAGGAGGACGTGTTGTAGACATTTTAGGATAACCTGAGGCCAAAACCTGAGAATCTAATGATGGGCCACCAGCCAAATCTTCTTGATGGGGATATCCGGTGATTTTTTGCTTCCAGCTTTGTAAGGAGCCTATCATTGTTGATGCTGGTCAAAGTCCTGGCTTATCAGGTTGTTTTGTAAGTTGATCTTCGGATGCAGAATCAACATGTGGAGGATTTGGTGTTGGTGCAGGAGCTGTTGTGGGTTTGTGCATCAAAAGTTTTCCTGGTATGCCAGGCCGCTGTGGAACTGAAGGTGGTGGGGATGTGATTTCAGTGGCAGGCCTATCCTTCGCACCAGGTGTGGTATTTGGCGTGGAAATTAGAGCTGTATTCTCGGCCTTGATTTTCAAGGCATGTTTAACTGCCTGTTGATCGGCCTGCTGCTGCCTTAAAATCTTGTCAACTTTATATATGATCCAATTCATATCAGTTCAACCAAGGGTAGTAATTGCTTGCTCATCATTGTATCCACAACGTTTCAGGGCTCTGAGATCAGTAGAAAGGATTGTCATGAAAAGAAAAACATTGTTAACCTTCGCTGAATCAAATAACAATGGGCACAGTGAGGTGGAGACCCTGTTAATAATCATTAGATAAGAATACGAACCCTAGCTGGCCCAATACATACTCATACATATCCACTTGGGAATTACCAGAAAGCCATAGCTTGATAGGACCATAACCGCGTCGCTGCGCCGCAGCCGAAGCATCTTGAGTTCTTGTCAGCCGTACTTCACCAAAATTGAGGCCTTTGGCTACTGTCAATTTTCCAAATATTTTAACTAGGAAATTCTTGTCATTGTTGAGCCATCCGAGGGAGATGCGTGTGCGAGTGTAAGTATGCACGTGAAGGAACAAGGGTAACCTTTCCAGTATAAGGCTACGGACGTCAGTAGCAATTTTAGAGTTCTTAATTTCAGAGGTGGTCTTGTACTCTTCACAGATCGTTGCACTAAGGTGCTTGGAGCCTAGATCAATGTAGAATTCTTTGCTTTCGGATTTAAATGGGTGCTATTCTCAGGCATGGTGGACTCTTACCTTCCAATAAATCCTCCTGCGGTGCTGTGAAGATCGAGTCCCCAAAAAGTTGGTAGGCATTTGTGTCATCAGTGATAATAATTTCTCCAGGTTTTTGTAGATTGTATAAGAGTTCCCAATCATTTTTATCCCACTCTGCAACACCAACACCCTTCTCTTTTTCCGAGTTTTTACAACACGTTTGTTTCATGCCTAGCAAGGTAGGAGAAAATCTCATTTGATTGTAGGTTAGTTGCGAAATCAGATGACAATTAACAGCGAGATTGCAAAGTTTGACCAGATAGCTGAAGGAAGTTATTGAAAATTCAAATAACACGCACAGAAGGATACGTACTTGTCACATCCATCTGCAAGCCTGTAGAATTCACAAGGGTCCATGATAAGGATATTAGCAATTTCTTTTATGGAAGGCTCATGCTTAGTTCCTAGCCTAATATTGTCCTGATTTTATTCCAGGTTTATACAGAGAGGTCAGAATAAAAGGTGCATGTATTGATTTAGTATCTACATTTTGTTTACTGACATCTAGAAACAAGCAGATTCTATGGTGGATTGAAGAAATTCCTGGTGTTACATTTTCAGGCATTATTTCTGAGTTTTTTTGCAGTACTTTGTAGCTCTCATTTCACATTTTGTAGTGATACCTACATGTTTTTATAGCTTACAGATAATTCAATATTTTTGTTGTTTTTTTAATGTTATTTTGAGTGGTTGAAGATCCAACCGGAATTTTACAGATAACACCAAATATCTGGATGTTTTAAATTTCCAATTTTTCTCTTTTTTCAAAAATGTGGTTTGTCCAATTTCTACAAGACAAATCTTAAAATACTTTGAGATTTAGGCTTATTCAAATGTTTCTAATCTTTGATGATTTTTACAGATAATTTCATCAATTTCTATATATTTCAAGGTATTTCTAAATATTTACATTTGTGACTTTTCATTGGGCACCATGATGATGGTGTAATGACAACAAACATTTAGATAAGATTTGGAACAACTCAGCTGGCAGGATTCAATCAAATTTCAGGAAAATAGTCACACAAGGAATTATGTCACATGTGACATGTTCATCATTGGACTGCAGCTTTGATTGTGAGTACAGGATAAGGCCATCAAAACAAGGAAAAGAAAGAGATAGAACAACAAATGCTGTGTAAATAATGTCACAGGTTTGTACAGCCATAAAATAAAGTGTAATAGCAGAAAGAGAGCAAGAAAATCATAATGACATGGGAAGATGCAGTAAAAAAAAGGGTAAAGCAAAAACAATATCAGTATCAACACAGTTGATACTTTCTAGTAAATAGTTTTTATCATTGACAGTGCAGTAGCTGACACAGCAAGCATAGCCAACTTTTGTCACACCCAAAATCAATGAAAAAGTCTGAAAGTAGTTAAAATGTTTAATTGCATTTTGGACCTACAAGACTTCATCAGAATAATGTATTTTTGTTAACATATTTCTACATATTCACACAAAAATATAGTATTTATGGGAATATGTCAACAAAAAGACATCATTTTGTAGGTCCAAAATGCAATCAAATATTTCAGCTACTTTCAGACTTTTCCATCAATTATGAGTATGACAAAAGTTGGTTATGTTTGCTGTGTGATGGTGTCATAGGGTGCAGCCCTTGTAACTAGCTCCACTGCATGCATATGAGAGAAATATAATGAACAATAAAAAGAAGCTGCACAGTGTAAGAGCATAAAAGTCTAAGTGAAGTTTGATTCAAAAGGAAAGTGTCACATGGCACAAAGAGAAAGAAGGTTGAATTAGAGACTGGAAGTTTAAGAGTCCAAAAATTATGTATTATAACAAAATCTTGATAAATATCTTGATTATTCTCATTGTGATGTATGTCATGCAGATTGGTCAAACTTATCGTGAATCATTTTTCTCCCCAAATTCACGATATATTTTGCTGCTGTGTATCATAAACAAATTATACAGTGACTCCAAAAACTGTTGCAATATTTGGCCTAAACATGGTGTGCGAAGCACACCACTAACAGGCATGGGAATGTTGCTTGACTTTGGTGGGGTTGACAAAAGTACTTGGTCTTGGCTACAAAATGGTTTCTAGGTTATGTGATTTGGCCCAGTGGTTGTGGAGATATGTCCATTTCAAAACAGCAATACTATTGAAACAAATTTTTCACTTTTGGTATCAAAGGAGATATCTAGGGAATATCAGTACTTGGTATAGCCTATTTTTGCCTTGAGCACTACTTGAATCCTTCTAGGTATGCTTTCAATTAAGTTGCAACACTCTGCAACTGCTATCTTCTCCCACTCTACTTGAATCCTTTCCCACAACTCCTCCATCCCATTAGGAGGGTGTTCATACTCTGCAAGCCTCCTCTTGAGACAACCCCACCTATATTTAATATAATTAAGGTTAGGAGACTGTGCAGGCTGACAAAACCGGATAAACCCAGTCTCTGCCAAAGCAGCCATTGTTCTCCATGGAGCATAGCCACCACTCCATGGAGTAACCATTGTTCTCCTAGGAGTCATTATACTGTAGCGAGTAGCACCTCCAACTATAAGTAGTAGGGGGTTTAGTATAGGAATACCTCAGTCGTTTCTATAGCCTCTCGGGCAGCGGCTGAGGTATGTTATATTACATTTATTAGAGATCACCTTAAACTAACATCTATTGTAGTTTCACATAGGTAGATAATAAAGTCGTTTCTATAGGGCAGCGGCTGAGTTTCACTTAGTTTTATTACAGGCCACACCATAGTTCTAAATCCTTGATCATATAGCCACTCCTTGACCTTTTTGCAGGTATGCTTGGGGTCATTGTCTTGCTGAAAGATGATGTCAGGAGGATTGAAACCATAATACTGTAGGGTGTTTAGCAGCTCATCCTTCAAAATCTGAAAGTAAAGGTCCCCATAATAAAACTAAGTGAAACTCAGCCGCTGCCCAAGAGGCTATAGAAACGACTGAGGTATTTCTATGCTAAACCCCTTACTACTTATAGTCAGAGGTGCTACTCGCTACAGTATAATGACTCCTAGGAGAACAATGGTGACTCCATAGAGTGGTGGCTATGCTCCATGGAGAACAATGGCTGCTTTGGCAGAGACCGGGTTTATCCGGTTTTGTCACTCCCACTTAAGTGCAAGTGTAGTCCCATAGGGGCTTTGTGGTGAGTATAGACGAGCACTACCTTGCTAATCGTAGCACAAGGTAGGTTTGAGAACGACAAGATGATGAGGTTGCCAGTGATAGCAGGCTCCTGACGCACAAACTGTAGTGCTCAGAAGGACTCTAATCAAAAGGAATGACAATGACTTCAAAAGTGGGAAGTGACAATGACAGCAGTTGACAGTGGTAGCAGTGGGAAGTGTTGTGACCACACTGGATCACAAGCAGCAGAGTAGTGAACTTGAATTTAGAGAAGAAGTCTGGAATTAAGTTCTTGTTTTTTTTACAAGATAAAATACAGGGGTTTATATAGTAAAAGAAAAGTAGGCTATGCACAGTATAGCTGTGCAAAAAGAATGAGAAAGAACATGAAGGAAGGAATGTATGCTGACGAATCCTGTGTAGGTAGTACAGGATAAGATTGTCAAAAAAAGGAAAAGAAAGGGATAGAACAATGAATGCTGTGAGTAATGTCACAGGTTTGTACAGCCATAAAGTAAAGTCCAATAGCAAAAAGAGAGCAGGAAAATCATGATGTCATGGGAAGATGCAGTAAAAAAAGGGCAAGGCAAAACACTATCAGTATCAACACAGTTCCTTTATTGTCAGTCAGGCATTCTAAAAAAATATGTGTCCATAAAATGATTCAAAAATCAAAAAATAATCGCACTGTAAATAAATGTTCTGCTGAAAAAAAAGAAACTGGAGCCACCGGTCCACCACCTAGTCCAAATCTAATGGTTCTATAGCTTTACCAATGGACTGGTTGTGTTGGACCACCTGATCAAACAAGGGAGGGAGAGGAGTAGTTCCAATTTGGAACAAGTGAGTCCCAGGCAGCGTATGGTAGGTGTAGCTGTAGCGAAGACGATGGACAAAAGATAAGTGTACCCAAGTGAATGGAACAGCGATGAACATGGGCGATGCAAGGGGATGAACCTTCTCCAGCTCAAAAACTACCCACCCACGCTCCAACCAGGCAAGACGAGCGACCGATGTTCTGATAGTATATGATGGTAGATCGATGTCATAAAGATGGACCTGTTGCCCTATTTGTACCGGCCGCCGGGGCTTTGCTGATATTAGCAGTGGCACGTGGTAGTCAACAGATCGGCGTCGGAAGCGGATAGGAAGTGGTGACATCAGAAATGGTGGGGGTGCAAATAAGATGAGGAGGAGGAGGGTGGAGGTGACAAAAAGGTGGATTAGAATGGGGATCCAGAAATGACCATCAGGTGAGAATACAAAGGAGAGGAAGGGGCCCATGGTGGGGCTAGGCAAAGGAAGGGGAGTAAGGGAAACGACAAAAGCGAAGGCGCAATGCAATGTGTAGCCAGTGGCGACGCAAAAATTTGCCGAAATGCCGAAATGCCGAAAGTACCGAATGGAAAAGCAAAGGTGAGCGTGACTGGATTGCCTAATAGAGGTGATGCTGATCAGCCACAAGTTTGAAAAAGGCAATATTAATTACTATTCCACGTGGCATTGTGCCTGTGTGGCGCAAAGGCGAGTCTTTTTGAATATTCGCTTTGTTATTGACACCTGTCCATGCTACCAATCAACTTTGGTGCATGACACCGCATCCTCCAGGGTAAGTTTTCTATTTATTCTTTACTTATTCTTCACTGACTGATACATTCCCTAACAGGTATACACTGATTAACTAAGTCATGTCAAGAGGGGATGTTTGGAATGTACACACCAAGATGTCCACTAAGATAGTAGCCGGATTGAAGGGTCTCACAAAGGGTGAAATGCAATCATGAGGGCATTTGCAAGTGGGCTTGAGGTTTTCACAGCACTGGGGCATGCTCCGTTGTAATGTACGTGTTGCCCACAGTAGCTCAAGCCCCACTCCATTTATTGTATTTACATATGCTCCTATCACATTTATTTGGTCAACTGCATCACCAATCTGTGGAATGCACTGATTTTAAAAGAAAAAAAATTACCTGGACATCAGCCACTTCTGCCCAAGCCTATACTTCAAGTTCCCAACAGTGGTGAGGACTTTGGTGTTGTTCACTCAAAAAATGCAGCAACTTTTAAAGGGCTTTTTCCCATAAAGATTGAAGTTGCTGAAGAAGATGGTGATGTTAAAGCAGGCCCTCAAGGCCCTCAAGATATCCTTGAGCTTGCACTCGAGCGGGACATTGAATCCCCTGTCATCCTGCAAGGCATGGAAATTGATGCTGCCTTCCTGCTCATCCCACTTGATTACTCAGTGCCCTCGATGACCTCAGCACAAACATTAAAACGCAAGCTTCCTGAGGAGCCCCCGACAAACTTTATTGACCCAGCCAATTTGAAGACCATAGATCCGCCACTGAAGAATTTCCACTTGCTACAAGCACCAGCGGACCATAGCAACCAGATACCACAAGTAAAGCTCACTTTTTCTGTTTGCTGGTATCTATACTAATGTATTCTTGAAGTCTAATGTCTCTGTCAGGACCAAATTAGTCCTTGAGGCTTTGCGCAAGCTTCTCCCACCTCCAAATATTTATGGCCTCTCAAAATATTAATGTCTCTTTAGCATAGGCACTGGTATAGATGTGCACTCACTGAAAATCACTTCCAAGGCCGAGTTCATTCTTTTTATGGATATGAGGATTGAATTAAAATGGGTTTTATGTGGGATGACTGCACACAAATAAGTGATTGCAATAAGAGCATACAATGAACGCCTACTACATATCAAACAGCCCTTGCCTGTTGTCCTGAAGAATCCAAGGGCCTTATTAGTTAAGTTAGGTGATATTGAGTAAAAGATTATTGAGCATGTTAAGATGGGAAACTATAAATGTGAGTCCAGAAACACTGTGCCACTCTTGCTCTCGTTAAAACTGAAAATCACATAACTGGTATGGGCAAGAATGTAAGCTTTTATGGTTGTTCTTGTTGTTACTTGCTAAAATATAACAGGGGAAAACACAAAAAATACCAACATGTAGTTGGTGTCGTATAATCAAATATCCCGGCTCTGAGGGCTTCTCTGGAAACCACAAAAAAAGCTGCTGTTCGGATGGTGTCCCAGTCAAAGCACCAAAAGGCTACAATAATGTGACGTCTCCCTGGCCACAATTGGTGGGTATTTTTACGGATGGGTTCCATTTCCACCCCATAGTTTTCTTCTCAACGGTTTGCGAAGTATACAAGCAAATTATTGTACTTCACAACAATGGAGAGGAGCTTGCAATGGAATATCAAGCCCTTTCTATTATGCTGGACCAATGTTTTGCAAAAAATGAAGATGGAACTGTTTTTGCTGGCCCCAAAGGCACAGCTCTCTTTCATTTTCATGACTTCTTGACCCTTAGTCCACCCATGCCAGAATTCATTGTGTCACACAATGAGGAGAAGTATCTTCGAGTTGATTGCTTGGCTGAACACTTGTTGGTGTGAGTCCTCATTTTTGTTTTTATGCTTTTTGGTTCTGTGGAAATGTTTGCTACATTTCTATAATGCATTCATGTACATGTATTGGTAGTTGCTTTTATGATTACCTAACTACCTACTTCTTCTTTTCTGTGAGCCTCTGGTTAGAACCTCTGATTAGAATAAAATAAACTGTGTATATCAGTGTGATTTCTCATTTTTGAACACTTACTGGGTACTTTGAGAAAATTTGGCCAGATTGCAAACTTTTAAACTTGATGAAAAAAATGTCACAATCAGTCACATGATGACAGGTTGAAAATTGGTCAGCAACTTTGCCATACACAAGCTTTTAGTGACTAAATCAATCTGATTGATTTTTGATTTTGATTTACGAAGACCAATTGATCATGTGAGTTGACCAATTGATTTTACCCCACGTTCCAAGTGAGTTATTGCAGCAAATTTTCACTAAATCCCCAGGTCTCCAGGCCTGGCTTGAAAATTTCACAAAATTCACACAAAAGTAAGCAAAATCAAGCAAGCAACTCTGTATTCTTTTACTAATCATGTATTTATGCAATGGCGAGACAATAACACAAGCAAAAAGGCAACTAAAAACCAATAACACCCTACCCACACACCAACAAACAAAACAAAAGGAATCAAGAAAAAACAGATTGGGGAAGTATAGGAGAGACAAAAAGGCAATAGGGAGGCATAGTAGAGCACAAAAGGGGAAAAAATGGGGGCATGGAGATGAGAAACAAGGGGTGCATAGGCATGGGGGCCATAGATATGAATACAACAAAAGAGCACAAAAAAAAGCGTAGCGTGTATGTATGTAGAGCAAAATAATTAGTCATTATTGGCCTCACCATCAGATGCACTGCAAAAGCAGTCAACGCAAAGATAAGAGTTTCCCCGTCGAGTTGGACGATGGCTTCTGGCATTGGTGGGCTGAGAGTGTACCCATTGTACGGCTTGAAGAGAAAAACACTGTTGGGTCCAGTCTTGAGACATTTGACAAACATAGCAGCAAAAGCATGATACTCTATTGTTCGGTCAGAAGAGCTGTCATCACCCCAAATGATTGTCTCCTGGTACATTTCTTGCAATGCTGATAGGAACATAATGGGATAAAAGAATGAGCCATGAGAGAAGACTCCTTGGGGCTGAGGCCAAGGTGGGTGTTTATTTGGAGGGAAACCACTACTTACCTTAATTTTGATGCCATCTGAGCAAAAGGCCTTCTTGTGGTTGCCTTGGGATCCAGTTCCCCCAGGGTACCTGGTCACTCGGCAGTGCAAGCAGGTCTGCGTCTTTCACTAAAAAGCCATAATAAGTACATGTAGTGTGGTTCTTTAGTGCATTGCATAGCATGAATGGCATACCTGCTTGGTGAGGTCTGTATATCCTTTCTTGGGCTTGGCCACAGCTATTGCATGACAGTGTTTCTGCCAGAAATCCTCATTACCTTTTGCAGCTAATAAAGTTGTTAGTTTAGTATCTAGTACAGAATGAAGAACCTTTACGTACACTTAAAGTTCTCTGTTGTGATCCTCTGCACTACCTTAGCTTCAATCTCCCTGAGCTTGTCAAACAGAGCACGAGGATTTTTCTTGATGAAGTTAGCTCCCATCTTCTCAAGCTGCACATTATACTCATTGGTGGCTTCCACCCACTTTCTTAACATCATGGTGTGAGAAACCATTGTAGTTCAAGCCACATATTCATGAAGGTGAAAAATTCAGCTCCTGGAGAAATATCCAGGGATTGGATATCCATTCCGGTTGCTATTGAGAAAATTCTCTCTAAAGGAGAAAGACCAGCAAGGTTGGGTGGGGACTGGGAGAGGAACAGCAAAAGTGCTGATGTTGGTTGCAATGGAGGATGTATTTCTTTGAGCTGGACCAAGCACCTGCTTGGCTTTGTCCTTGCTTAGCCCTTTAAATCCACTCTGGACATTCTGTCGCAGCTCACCAAAAAGTCAAGGGAGGTGACTAGTTTGGAAGGGACAGTAATGGAGCTGGTATTTGTTGACGCCCCCAGGCCATTGGAGAAGGTGGTTGCATCACTGGGAGGCGTGGTGGTTGCGTCACTGTTGATAAAGGGGGCAGTTGTACTCGGAATATTAATGGGGGTTATGCACATGGGGGTTGTAGGGCCAACACCTCAAGCCTTCTTGTGTACAGGCTCAGTAAGCACATTGTTGCCGTCCGAGTGAGTACTCAAATCAATTATTGCCTTGCATTTGATAATAAGAGGCTGACTTGAAGAAAAGGCCGCTTGATGAGGCACTGAGAGAAGTGATAGACTGATGTTGAGGTCTTTGAGTATTGCTTCTGGCTCAACTTTGGCCTCAGCTGCAATTTCAAGGTTTTCAATAGGGTCCAGGCTATTGTCTTCAACCTTTGTTTCTTCCAAGAGTCTGTTGAAAGTCATTGAGTCCTCAGACCTGATAAGTCCAAATATTTTGTTACTCTAGATGATGAAATAGGTAGGCTTGAGGTTGAGCTCATTCTTTGAATTAGTAGACAGAGCTGATTCAACAAGCTTGTTTCATGCTTTTGCTATGCGGTTGACGAGATGAGTTTGGTGCAACCCGTAAGTTGATGCTAAGAATGGTGATGTGTCCGGGTCCTTGGAATTGTAGACTACTAGGATGTTCTTACAAATAACAAAATCATTTGCAAAGGTTACAAATATTTCAATGCTACTTGGAAACGAGCACATCAAGCTGTTTCAGCCCTTGTGACTCCCTTCTATTTGGCTTCTATCTGAGCGGATGTCTTGTCACTTGCGTTCAAGGCACCCTTTCTTGATGTGCTTGAGCTGATAGATGTGAACCTTGACCAAGTTATAGTTAGACAGCATGAGGGGAGTGAAAGTAAGAGAAAAAATGTATCATTGGGCTCGCAGCTGACCAAACTCTGCCTTTTTGGGTGTATTTCTCAACTACTGCTTGTAATAATACTTTGCTGGTTGATTTTCACTTCTTTTTGTCTTGTATATTGCATCACTGATTTCCCTGGCCACTATTGTACGGAATGGATTCTTCGTGCCATTAATATTATAGTGGCAAGATAGCTGTTATCTGTAGTTAATATCTGTATTTTTTGAGAATAGAATGAATCAACATACTGCATAATCAGATGACAAATATCTAGGCTGAGCTGTGCATCTGGCATTATCTTGACAATAGCGCTCCATGCATGATAGCAATTGCCTGCATTTACCATTTCAGGTAGTGTAACACAAAGCCTTGCATAGTGAGACTTGAGGCCCTGAAATACTTCCTTAATCTCAGCATTTGATTGACTCTGGCAAAGTCTCTGGTATGGTGGTTATAATGAGAAATATATAACTCAGAAAAGTGAGTGCTCACCCATGCAATGATCTCATTTTTCTCATTCACTACACTCATATACAAACACCTATTGATATCATCAGCATCAAAAACTATATTAGCAAACTGTGTGATTCCCATCAAGATCTGTGATTAGCTCCCCAGAAATCACATTGTCCCCATAATCCTTGCTTGGCTTTGAAAAAAAAAAAAAAAAAAAAAAAAACCCTGTAGGGGACTACATGCTAGTAATGTTACACGTGTATAAAGTCTCTGGTAACTGGTAAGATATTCCATCATACATTGATGGCAGTGAAGCAGATAGAGTTCTGATGTTCCAGATAACAAGATTTTAGCCAGAATATTAAAGATATATTAACAGGTGAGAGAGTTACTTATGCTTAATGTTTTTGGCTAGTCCTGATGAAGTGTTTGTAGGCCATAACTCAATGATCAACTCGAAGAGATCACACATAACAGCACACTATTTGAAAAAGATAGGAACATTGGCTAAAGCAGGATACATGGTGAGTCTATGAGTTTATTGTTGACTAGAAAAAGCATACATGGTAACTCCCAAAACACCCACTTGTCCCAGAACATATAGTTAGTTGTAGCATGACAATAATCACCACCAGCTCCACCATCACCATCTTGACAAGCTCGGCATTGTAGCTGGTATCCCAGGGCCTATTCTTCTGACATCAAACCATGAACATCCCTAGGACCCTTCATGGTCCATCCTTTCCACAGCACGTTCCCTGACTGACATTTAGGTCATTTTTTAGGTCCGCATAGAAGGGGTGGACAATGTTAAGCGGTTTTAGGTAAGTTGTTATTAGTTAGTAATAGGATCACATTAATGCTTTTCAAGGTGAAGATATGTTGGCGGGACAAAACAGGGTCCAAGTATGAGTACACTGTTTAATAGACTTGGGGGGTACACTAATTTCTTATTACTTGCATGTTTGCTCATTTTTGAGTAAATGTGGTTTATATATTCCACAATGCTTGCCTCCCATGCCAACTAAGCTTTTGTGTGGTGTTTGGCTCCCCATAGTGTTCCATCCAGGTGGAAACATGCTTTCCAATCTATTACAGGTAAGTTCGTATTTGTAGTCTCTCAGTATGTTACTTATATTCTTATCCCACTCAGTTTCAAAGTTTGTACACTCTTTTCCAGACAGGCTATTCTTGAGAATTGCTTTAACAACTCCAGGCTCAAAGACTGTCATCTTTTAAGAACAAATGGGCGCTGTTTTTAGTGAAGGAAAGGATAGGAGGCTTACATGTAAGCTCCTCCTTTTTTATTGCTTTATGGCTTACACTTTTTTGAATCATTTCACACTATTCAGAACTCAATGATGTGGTGTCTTGCCAGTGAAACATGGACATTAGATAGTATAAACACGCTAGTAATACAGTACACAGGTGCTTTGTATGTTACTTGCCCCAAAATACAAGAAGTGTGATCAAAGACAAAAGAGAAATGGAAGTGAGTTTGAGTAGTAAAATAGTAGATTGTTGGGTTAGGAAGAAGACTAGACCATGTTTAGCATGCAATACAGCAAAGTAACTCACCGCTCTTGTATGAAGTGGAAATGCGCGCCTAACAGCCGTCTCCCATTGAGCCCAGGCCCGTGCCATATTATATTATATATTGTACATGACACGGAGACCAGCCACATAAATAGAATCTTGTCGAGCAAGCTGGGGGAAATATGACTTCCTTGTCAATTATATAATGGCAGATGTTGGGCCCAGGATGACTTGATAAATTAATCACCAGAATAGTACATTAGCATCCTGTCATATCAACCCATACATTATAATTTCTTCCTTAGGTGGTTAGTGGTTTGAGCCAGTATGATGCAAGTGGTTGTGCATGCTCCTTAGGGTCATTGTCATCAAACAAATCTATATCACCTCTTGTTGCCCAGAAACAGCCGTTTCAGCAATGAAACAGTCAACTTCAAAATTTAGTTTAAAGAAGTGTGACAGCAAATTGGTGGTTGGCTTGTATTTGTAGTGGAGAAGGTATCGTCCTGAGTTTTCTTCACTTTTTATAAAATGTACATGAGGGGGGTACATCTGTGCCATACGGGCAGCATAGGTGATGTAAAACTCAGGAAGGTTTTGTTCGACTCCTAAATGATAGCATCTAAACTAACTATAGTATCTTCACAGATAGGAGACAACATATCTGTCATATAACACAACAAGTGTGTTTGCTAAACTCAGATTCTAACTTATGACAGGCCCTTTGATATAACCAGATTAACCAACAAAGACGATCAAGAGCGCTAAGTGATGTGATAATGTGTTTGGCAAGATAAAAGAAGTGCACAGGTACAGAGTGTGAGGCAACGATAAACTATAAAAAAAACGAAACCTGTCTCCTTCTGCACTTGCAGGGAGTAAGGGGTTCGATGAGCTTGAGGTTGACAGACGCTAGTAAATATAGCAAGTAGAGGACTTTGAGAGGTAAGCTTCAAAGGTTTTCGTTGAGCAGTAAAGCGGGTAAATTCAGTAATAGAAAACTAAGGAGCCATACATGAATAGGTAAGGCTTTATATAGTGAACTGTTTGTTCCTCAGACCGAAAGGAGAATATACAAAAAGTGGTCTGAGGAATCAATCGGCCAATAAGAAAAAGAGAGAACAACTATCATACGACTTTTAACTTGATTAATCAGCGGTGAGAGATTTGTACTAATAATAGAGGTGTGTTACGCGTGTTCAGGAACCGTATCCTCATAATGAGGTACGATCCTGAACAAAGTGTTTATTAGTATATCCAGGCTTTACTGGGGCTTGGAGCTGGTTTGGCAAGATGCCTACTACCAGTCCCTACTCAGTGTGCTGGCTGGCTGGGAGCGATACCCAGTCTCTGATCTGTGATATAAAATGGTAGTGATGGTTAAGAAAGCCTGTGAGGGCTATGAGAAGTAAAATGGCAAATGATACCTCTAGCCCTAGAGCCAGAGGTGTAATGGGAAAAGTGTTCGAGAACCAAGACATAGCGAAGATAAGAAAATAATAAAATGGTCCTTACACAGAGATCTGCTTTTGCGGGAGAAGCCCACAAATGACCAAATTTTTGATTGGTCAATTGGTCAATTGACCAACCGATAACTTACATAAGACTTCTCTTGGAATGGCAAAGTTGCTGGGATAGTGGTCCCAAAAGTCACAGGCAGCACACATGGTAGCACATTTTTTTGCTTGGTTTTGCTCACTTGGTTTTTTATGATACAAGGGTGTGGAAAGTGTTGCAGGCACCTGACAGTTGCAGCAAAGCTGCGAAGAGTGCAATTTATAACATCAAGACTGGGGTGTATGTATGGTTCGTGCAAGGTATATACTGTGCAGTGACAAAGGTCACATGTGACTATCACTGTGGGGATCGACTTATAATAGCTAGACTTGCAGTGTGATCTTACAGTGATTTATTTTTAAAAATATACCAATTATATCTAAGGAAAATATGAAGCAAATTTTTAAAATATAATCCCTAATATCATCTGCCTGTCCTCACAGCTTTGAGTCTGGAATTTTTAGTAAAATCATTGTACTACTGTCTTATATATTATATAGAAAATATTTACAAAATGATCTTGCTCAAGGCAGGCAATATAAAGATAATATTTTGTAGATAATATTTATAAAATTATCCAAGGATCCACTCTAAATTGCATTATCATTGATACTAAGCATTTATTATGAAACATTTCAAACTCATATCTTCCTTATATTCAACCCTTGTCCACAGCATTTTTTTGAAATTATTTCTAATTATCTTCCAGCCTGTTTTCATCCTTGAACTGCAGCTTTGATTCACAATCAAGGCTGCAGTCCAATGATGAACATATCACATGTGACATAATTTCTTGTGTGACTATTTCCCTGAAATTTGATTGAATCCTGCCAGCTGAGTTGTTCTGAGTTTTAAATGTTTGTTGCCATTACGCCATCATCATGGTGCCCAGTGAAAAGTTGCAATCTAGAAATATGGAAAAAGTTTGAAATAGAAGTAAACATGTAAATATATAGACAAATGACAACATATCACGGAAATCAGTGATCAAGTGACTCATTGGCATGTAAAGAATGCTTCATACGATCCAAAATCAAGATTGGTGTTGCACATAATATATTTATTGTTGCTTTCTTGCTTACCTGCATATTTTTCCAGACTCAAGCAGATATTTGGAGTATCAGTAAGATGAATTCAGCAAAATGGACTTGACAAAAATCAGTCACAGTAAGTGTGGATTAATATAGTAATCATTAGCTATATGTGTCATCATACCAGTATACTATCATATATACCACCAATGGTTCTACCGTCACCCTATTCCTTACCATCACCTTAAATTTTCACATTGACTCCCTCATCCCAGCTTTGATCATTCCCAATTGCCAAACCACAAGCAGCTGTGGTGAGGTGTTTTCATATACACCACTGGTACCAATTATTCCCACACCACTGAAACCACCTAGCAAATGAGTAGTGCCAACAAATTTAAAGGCTTTCACACCAATGTCAACTTTTGATCCCCCTAGCAATTATTTCTAATCAATTTTTACAGAAATTTCTGTACTATCAAATGGCATGCACACAAGGAATTATGTCACATGTGATATGTTCATCATTGGACTGCAGCCTTGATTGTGAATCAAAGCTGCAGTTCAAGGATGAAAACAGGCTGGAAGATAATTAGAAATAATTTCAAAAAAATGCTGTGGACAAGGGTTGAATATAAGGAAGATATGAGTTTGAAATGTTTCATAATAAATGCTTAGTATCAATGATAATGCAATTTAGAGTGGATCCTTGGATAATTTTATAAATATTATCTACAAAATATTATCTTTATATTGCCTGCCTTGAGCAAGATCATTTTGTAAATATTTTCTATATAATATATAAGACAGTAGTACAATGATTTTACTAAAAATTCCAGACTCAAAGCTGTGAGGACAGGCAGATGATATTAGGGATTATATTTTAAAAATTTGCTTCATATTTTCCTTAGATATAATTTTACACAAAAATCACTGTAAGATCAAACTGCAAGTCTAGCTATTATAAGTCGATCCCCACAGTGTGTGCCTGCACAAAACAATAATGCCAACCTTATTCACGGACTTTGCCAAACACCTGGACTAAATTTGGGACATGTTTTGAAGACTGTTTAGCCCCTACGACGAAGTCCCCATCCACCTTATCTTTGGTGCGTTCCTCACAAAATATGGTGAGTATTCCCAGTGTTTACTGGGTGTGTTCGAAGACAATTTCGAAATTAAATCCAGCGAACGCGCTGGGTACGAGCCTAGTTCACACGATGCGCAAAGCAAGCTTGGCCATTGTGAAGGCACCTTCCTTGGTGTGATTACCTGGTTTGGCATCAGCCCTATAGTCACTAAAACAATTTTTTACAGTACACGACTCACCTCCTATGAATCCAGATGCATGTACGAAAATGCCACCCGGAACTCCACTGATTCGGGAGAGTTCATCGTCTCGAAAGCCTCGCCACGCTTCCGGTAGAGCCTTTCGGCTTTCGAAGGACTCTGGAGACACAGGGACCGCTTGTATGCGCCAATTGCCTGCGGTCTCGTCTGGGTAGATGACATACACGGGCTGCGATTCCTCAGCAATGCCTTCTTCGCTTTCAAGCTCGAAAAGATGTTCCTAGACATAACAGGAATGAGGACAGGCCCTCGGTTTTTGAAATAAAATGGGCAGACCTTCCAAGGAGCAAATTGCTCGAAAAGCAAAATCTTGGCACTATTATCAACATCCTTTCGCTGCGATAAAGCAGCAACTACCAAAGATCGTGCAGGCAGCCACGCATCGGCATAATAACCCAGTCTACCCATGAACTCTTCTCCGGTAAGCTGAGATGCTTTCGAGAATTGCGCCTGCAAGATTTACTCAGTAGATTTAGAGAAATAGAGGTGGGAAGAGGTTACATCAACAATGTCAGAAGCTACTGACTCATTCCACGCAGGGTTCAGCCAACCGACCCGGGAGGACAAGTCGGTTCGACTTTTGTATTTCGCTGCAATATCGTTTGGATATTGGGGGATGCCATTATCGATCGCATCAATGGCTTCGATGAATTCCTGATGAAATACAGTTATTCCGAGATACGATATCGTCTAGACAGCATTTGACCAACCCGATACATTTTCAACCACAGTATGGTTACTTTCTCGTCATTGAGCGCCAACTGAGCCTTGTGTGCGATGATCTCTTTCCCAAAGTGCCTATAAAAAGTGCATGGATGAAAAATGAAAGTGCGTGTACGGTGAAGTAATGTACTTGTATATGAGACCGGCAGACGAGAGCTTGGTAGAGAAACCATGTCCAAACACCTCTGTAAAGCCTCGCTGATGGTGATCGAAAAGTTGTTTTCCTTCATCATAGACAGCACCGACATCCACGACGATATCACAAGTACCCAAAACAGCAGGATCTCTGCTGCGTTTCAGACCTTATGTGAGCAGATGCGAGAGAAATACAGTCCAATAATGAGCAGATGTCAGCTATTTTAGAAAGGGGGACTGACCAGCATCTTGATATGCAGTAGTCTGGCGAAGAAGGAAGACTGCTAGGGCTTCGTCGCAGTGAAAGGTGCCATTGTGAGTACCGATAATCTGTGGATTGTTGATGAGGTCCGTGATAAGCAGAAAGACGACTGATGGTTTGTACCTTGGGTTTTTGATACATTTTCTGCCTTTTAGTGGGTTGTTCTTCGGAAACGGAGGTCATGTACGATTTGGATGCTGCTGGTGAGTTGCAGGCGATATGATGGATGGGGAGAAGATAAGAGAGTGGGCAGTCCGAGTTAGGGAGCTGACGAAGCTTAAGACACAGGCCCGTCCGTAAGATCACTGACCTCCTGAGCAACATTGTAATGGTACGAAAAACTCCAGTTCGTCGTCCGAACGTTCAGCTGAAATGTAACTAAAGGGACTCGTGTGGAAACACTGGCAGTGCCATTCAGTCTCAGACTCGCGAAAGCCTGAGGATGAATCACAGAAATCACACCATTCAGACATTGTCAACACCATCCACGCTCATGCAGCGCAGGCAAGGTCGATATAGCAAGTGCGACGCCTGTCTTTGGTGTGATCCTCTTTCGACGGTTCTCTTAGCGCGTCCTTGCCCGGAGCTTGACATATTTCCCTATATCATGTCATAGTCTCATCCATTCGTGCGCAACCCCTCCATAATGTTGCTCTCTCTCGCACTTGTGGTCATTCTCACCTCTCCGGCTCTGTCTACGACCATCGCAGAAATCCAGGGTCACGCCTTCCAGAGTCTGTATGCTGGCGAGAAAGTAACACACCTCACGGGGACGGTTGTTGCCATCGTGCGTTTGCCTTATCGTCTCCGTTTCCCACTGCTCACTCTAGTGTCTCTAGTCGAAATCTGGTTTCTACCTTGCCGGCCATCCTGTCAAAGACGAGCGCGTCTCTACGGGTCTCTTCGTCCGCTCATCCGCTTCCGTCTCCCTCGGTGACTCTCTGTCCCTTTCTGGCACAGTCTCTGAATACCGCTCCTCCAGAAACGATCTTTCCTCGACAGAACTCATCTCTCCGTCCTCCATCCTCGTGACATCCTCAGCTAACACAATCGCGCCAATCCTCCTCGGACAGGATCGCTCCCCTCCTCAGGGTCAGCTGTCCGCCCTCGACGTCGTTGCTGGCCCCGATGCATGGCTTAGTGTACCCAATAATGTATCGCAAGTAGATGCAGGAAATGAATCTCTCAAGCCTCAGACATATGGCCTTGACTTTTGGGAGAGCATTGAGGGGATGCTCGTCACCGTGCCGTCTCCAGTCGCCATCGGTTTCAACGACAATTATGGCGAGTTTTGGGTACATGGCGCTTGGAATGTGACTGGCAAAAACTCAAGGGGCGGGTTGACCATGGTTTTGGGTCGGTCTCCTCTGTAATCGCTGTCTTCATGCAACCATAATTCTGCATATTAGACTTGGATGGTTTGCCAGATGCCAATCCTGAGATGGTTATCATTGGCAGACCACTTGATGATACGACCAATCCAACTGTCGCAATGGGTACGACGTTGACAGATATCACCGGGGTAGTTCACTTCCAGTACGTCTTTTTCCCCCATGTTCTGTACTGCCGTAGCCCAGTATTTTGCTGAGAACAAACAATTTACCCTGGACATGTCACGTTCATAGGTACGGGTATTTCTACATCCTTCCGCTGACAGCACCCAGTGTCATATCTTCTCCCACTTCGGCAGCGCCTCCGACTACCATTAGCTCAAGCTTCGACTCCTGTATCATCACTATCGGAGACTATAACGTGAGTCGAGTTGTCATATAATGCTATGACTCTTTCTTTATTTTTAGGTAACGCAGTGTCTCCATTTTCTATACCGTTATCTTGGCATCCTCCTTTCCTGTTTTCTCCCCGTCCCCCTCATACCTTTAAAGCCTGAATCACCGCTGACCCAATCTCAGGTCGAGAACATGGCCCCTACCTCTTCCCACATGTCCGCCGTCGCCTCTCATATCGTCTCTCACCTTCTTTCCCCCGACCTCCTCTTCCTCCAGGAAATTCAAGACGACTCGGGCTCAACTAACAACGGCATCGTCAGCGCCAATACCACTTTAAGCAATATCGTCAACGCAATCATGGACATGGGCGGTGTGGCGTATGCGTGGGTGGATGTGGACCCTTTGAACAATATGGATGGAGGGGAGAAGGGGGGAAATATCAGGCAGGCATATTTGTGCGTAGCGTTTGTGTTTAGGTCTTTTAAAGATAAACAAGGGGGAAGGAGAGCTAAGAGAGAGTTACCAATGAGTGAACTGACTATTTTGGATAGATATAATCCAGACAAGCTCGACCTTGTTCCCGGTTCACCCACTGGAAATGCAACGGAGGCAACAGCTGTGGTAAGCGATGGGAGTGGTGGATACACTTTAAGGTGAGTTCATCTTCTCTGTTTTCCTCCACTCCCATCACATGTATCGCGTCAAACAAGAATAACACATAATGCAGCTATAACCCTGGGCGGATCGACCCCACCAATGCCGCTTGGAAAGATTCGCGCAAGCCACTTGCTGCGGCCTGGCAGACGCGCAACGGGGACAGGCTGTTCAGCGTGAACCTGCAACTGACTGCAAAACTTGATAGTTCGACGACAGAGGGAAATACGCGGCCGCCTATCAATGCATGGGTCGCTGAGAGGATGGAACAAGTTGCGGTAGTTGCTGTGAGTGATGCATGATGCTCCATCGGTATGAAACGCGTCTCAGTATAGCCTGATGTATTTCCCGGATTTGCGTAGACCTTTTCCCAGTCGCTTCTCGCCTCCTCTCCTGATGCCTCGCTTATCGTTGGTGGCGATTGCAACGAATACATTTACACTACCTCCGTCTTTGCTCCCCTAACTGCCCTCCTCTCCGAAGTGGACAGCATCGCCACTCCCCCGGTCCCACCAGAGGAACGGTACACCTATGTTTACAATGGGGTAACAGAACAACTGGACCATATGTTTGTGAGTGCAGCGGTTGCGGGGAGGGGGGTGAGTGTGCAGCATATACACGTGAATAACTGGGCAATGAATATCGCAGAGAGGGCGAGTGATCATGATCCAAGTGTCTTGGAGGTGAAAGTATGCTAGAATCACGAATTTTAACTGGTGGACGAGTTTTCTCTTGATTAGGGATATAAATGCGATGTCTTAGTTGCAGCTGGTAGTCTTTTCAGTATTGAATATTGAGTGCTGGTTGTAATCATTCATGGCCACGCCACCGTCGTGTACACGAAAGATTAGATAATATACGATGAAATAATATCAGACCTTCAGGTTGGGCCGTGACTCACACTGCGAGCAATGGCCGAAATCCCCCGTTGCGACAGACACGTGCCAGCCCACGGCATGGAAAAAAGTCGCGCTGATGCCACAAAGTGCGCCAGAGGTGAGGGTGTTAAAATTTACCATGTACGCTACACTTGTCAATCATAGCTGTAAAAATCAAGATGCTGATGTGTGAGACCATTTCATGGAAGGCCAGCAATATTCTATGTGGTGTCCGACTTTCAGCCAAGGTGTCATAGCCGTCATTATCCACATATTCAAGATATGTTTACTATGATGGCAGAGCGCCAAATATATGACTGTCGCACACCGTGAAATGCCACTAACCAGTTTTATGTACTCGCTTTGTATAGCTTTGATTTGTGAAGGCTGACACTGGCCTGGCCACATCATCAGCACCGCTGTGGTTTTCTTTATAGAGCCACCACTGTCGCACACTGCAATAGTCAAACCAGCAATTACATGACCTCACACTTCTCTTTATTGTAACAGAGCCTCGAATAGCAGCCTTTTCAGCCCTTACATAGCCTTGTGGGATTTCTCTTGTGTTGGGCAGTGAAAGGACTCTTTGTGCTAACACAGAGCAGACCTGTGGCAGTTAAACTTTCAACTCTGAAAAAGAAAGCGCTCAATGAGAAAAAAAGAACTCGAAAACAGAAACAAAAACAGAAACAAAAAAACAATTGAATAAAACCTTGAATAAAACCAAAAGAAACAGAAAAAATATCAGTAAACAAAGTAGCTACCTGAAATTCCCTTCAAAGACTGCATGACAGTCGGTAGCTACCTGACCTGAAGGAGGTGTGAATCTACTCCGCGAGTCATTGAGTGGTCATTACTTCTCATTGTATGGCATGAAAAATCAAAATAAGGTAACTACCAGTAAAGAGGGGTAGCTACGGTAGCAACTGGTCTGAACGTCTCATTGGAGATTCAATTCATTTGAATACATCTACAGGTTGTCTATGAAACCAAGATCCAAGACTGGAATTCAAGACTAAATAGAATTGAGTCAGAGAGCTTTGAAAGAAAGAAGAGTACGCACCCTGTCCAACGATTTCGCAATGATACATTCTTGCCCGATATCCTCAGGTACATATGCTAAGCAACTGAAGTGCAAAACTATATCGCTCAGCTTTAGTACACATGGGTGGGATTTGAAGCGATTGTAATATAATTGGGCACCCAGGTTCTCGAAGGCGAGGAAGGGATCCTTATCCTTGTCTGATGGAGAAAGGCTTTCATATTCTTGAACTACAAGAAATGTTTCATCGGTTGAGTGGTCCGTGGCTGCAACACGGTGATGTACGAATATCTGGCATATTTGTCCGGCGGTAATGGCTCCAGCGACTGTCAGAGATTTGAACAGCACAAAGGAGTTCCCGAGAGAACTCTTCGGAATCGAGAATGAAACCCCATCCAATTTCACACTTTTGATGGATCGAGCCTTGTGATCTAGAAGGTATGTGTTGGTACCCTTGACATCACTATCCCATCGTATAAATTGTAATTGATGTGGTGAAGATCTGGCATTGAGTCTGTCCAATAAAGCTTTGTATACATCTTCAGATAATTCCATCGAGTAAGCTGTACTAGACGTTGAGGTTGTTTCATAGCTGAGGAAATCGCTGAGAAGGGAGCTGTTAGGCTCGATGAAAGCTCGGTGAAAAGACTTCATCATCGAATCATAAAGTTCAGTCTGTGGAAATTCGATGCGGGATGCAAATGCCCTTAGATTTGCTCCTATACAGAAATATTTTAGGAAGCTTTTCTCCATTTCTCCTGAAAATAGCAGGCACATCAGTTTTCATGCACTAGAGTTCTGCGTCCATACGAACCTGGTTTTTGATTGGAGTTTAGGTCACGAATGATCCCATTGTAGCGCTCAAATGGAAAAGCCCACCAACTGTGGACGGGGCCAAATAATGACAGGCATTCATCAAGGTGGAGCGAGAGGTGGTGGTTTGGTTGCAGCTGATGGTCGGCAAAGAGCTCACGGAGAGTCTTGAGGTAGCGAGTCATGTGGAAGTTGTATAATGCGATTCGGGCAGGGGATGTCGAGCGTTTGACAGAGATTTCAACCGCTATTACAAGATCAATGAAGTTATGCAGGAGGAGCTTCTCCTTGTCGGTCGAAGTAGCACTCCCCCACATTGGCACGAGAGACAGGACAAGGCTCACAGTACATACAGTACGCCACTGGTCTGCCTTCAGCTTTCCGTGACTGGGACTTCCGAAATTATGGGGTGGCCGAACCATCCATGACGGGTATGATGTGTTTTTTATATCTGCCTGGATCTTGTTTAGGTGCTCCTTGGAGAGGAGGCAGAACTTGGACACGTCCGGATGTTCCATTCCTTGCAATACAAAGTTGGTTATTGCATCATTCAGCACTGTTGGTATACGAATATTTCTGCCTGGATTTTCACGGTACTAGGAATGAAAAGTGTGAAAAGTAGTCAGTAGTGCTCAGATGTCAGCATAAATATGTCTCACCCAGTTTAACAGGGCATTTATATATGCTGTTTTTGTGAACAAACTTCCCTCTACTACGACTTCATTGAGGATAGCAAATGCCATCACATAGCCTTTACGCAGCTGTTTCAAAGTATTTGATGACAGCTTCTCGATACCTCGTCGACCCTTCTCGATTTCGATTGCCTGTTGCTCTGGGCTATGAGGTTTCATCTTCTTGGGGTTCTTTTCACCGCTTTTGATATCGATACCCCACACCTGCCTACAGTGATGCTGAAATTCACCTAAAAACAGGTTATGCATGGCATCTAGCACGGTAAATTTCGTCACATCCCAGTAGGGTAGACGAAGGAGTTCGGACCAACGCAGACCCCAGCGAGCAAACACCTTCTCCCTCGCATCCTGCGTCCTAGCGTTTTTCCAATCATCTGCTTGGCGCAGATGATCTTTCCAGCTACGTCTAGGCCAAGTTGCCTTATTCAAATTGGTTATCTCATTTTTCGGCAGCTGACAAAAAGAGCAAAAGGCTTCGGCACTATAGCTTGCAAAACCGGCTGTTTTGCGTAAGGCGGGCAAATCACAAATGAGGGGTCCCAAGGCACAACGAACAAGGCGTCCAAACGGTTTCGACCATGTGCGTCCGAGTAAAATACCATGCTCCCAGAGCTGTAGAAGGTCGTTGACAAGAGGTCGGAGGATATTGTTCATATGATGGAGTTTCGGTTCATGGGGCCCAGGAATCAAGCCAACAAGGTATACGTTTTCAAGCTTGTACCGTAGATGAAAAGGCAAGTTGAGACAAACCATATATATTGCACCTGTGGAATGTACTTTGCCAGCCTTCTTATTGCCATAGGGATTAAACCAGTCGACAAACAGGCTGAATACAAGATGTGCGGCTCCAGGCGGTCTGACGGCATAAGGTTTACCATCAGGACCTTTGAGTTCATGCAATGCAGTGGCATCCCAGATATCCCTCCATTCGTCACCAGATGTGGCTGGATCCCACACTGAATCCATGTAAGTCTCAAGATCTGGGCGCGAAAACAAACGGGCCAACCAAGAGGAAAGAGGTTGGTATGCAAAGACTTTGAAAGGCTTCGGGCCAGCGTCGTTGTTTAATGAAGTACCGCCTACTTTGACTTGTGATGTAAGTAGTGGCTCTCCACAAACATCGTCACTCGGAGTCTCGCGATATGTGCAGTGCTGAGGATAGAGTGTAGGTAGTGATTTATCTGGCTTGTAAGTTGAAAAACAAGCAGGACAGCAAGCATACTCCACGATATCAGGCGCTAAATCAAATCTATTGAGAGCCGTACGAATATCCTTAGGTAAATCGTCCAATAATTCCAGTTCTTCTTTGGACAACTTGCTCGGTAGGCCCTGCGCAGATCGCATAAATGCAAAAGAACCTGCAATAATGACACGTAGAGCTGCCAAAGTGAAGTGAGAATCAGGCCAGGCTATGCCTCCCATAATATGCAGGACGACAGCAAGAAAGATAGTTGCTAGCAATAGAGGTGGCATGCAGGACTGTCTAAAGTATCGTTCTGTCGAAGGACTTCGTTACACAGGAGACATATCATTATGTGAAGCAAAAACTTACCGGTTGACAACAGAAGTGGCCCATCTGCCTCTGACATCTGCTCGAGAAGCTCATGGCGAGCCTTGAAAACAAGCCATTGCTGCTGTTTGACATCTTCTAGGCGTTGGTACTCTGCAGTAACTTGTCGAAGTAAACCTAACCGCTGTCCTTCCACATCCTTGTTCCCGCTCTGGCCAAGATCGATGAGAGACTGAACCGTCTCGCTTAACCAGCTCTCTTGAAGTATGAAGGCCTCATTTGCAGTGGCATTGGGCAGCTTTTTGGGAGCATGGCGAATGAAAGTTCCAGGGTTCCCAAAGTCGAGCTTGGCAATTTTGTTTGGTAGTGATCGAGAACGGCGGTCCAGCTCGGAGTTAATCGAAGATAATAACTTTAACGCACGACGATTGCAGTCATCTGACTGGAAGGTTGTATGAGAAATGATGGTCCGGAGAGATAGAATATAAAATACCTCTTTGGTCCTTGATGATTCCACCGGAGGGTAGTCTTCGCCCGGTAATCGTGTCTCCTAACAGCACTGTCAGATCACTAACTTCAAGTCTACCCCATCAGTTACTCACATTGTCGCTTTTTGATGTGCAGGCTATTTCTTGGGACTCGATTTTATAATCATGTAGGCGGACTGGTAGCGAGTGACTCGGTTGGCTTGATGCTAGTGTAGATGCAAGAATCTTGGCCTGTGTGCCACTGACGCCTTCATCTTCTGCGCCTTCCTTCGACAACCGTATATTATCCTTCACCTGATGCCTGGACCACGTACTGGGGACAAGCATCTGACCTTGCTTCCTAACGCCATCGTTGTCGGTACAATCAAACTTCTTGCATCGATTGCAAGTACATAGCTTGGTTCTAGTCATCTAGTCAAGTATTTCAGCAGTTAATACATGGCCAGTGACCAGTTTTGATCACCTACTCGATGTCACTGCACTACACAGCAAGTGGGGGGTTTAGGTTAGACTCAGTATCTGCAGCCTGACCCGAACTGTTGGTCATCATGATCATCATGATCAATCCGAGTCTCTTGAATCCAAAGTCCGACTGGCACCTACCGCAGTTACAGCCACAGTCTGCAGTATGTGATACAAATGTTCTATCACATGTACTTTGAAATGTTGATACTACTGATGGGCCATAACTTACTACGTCCCCATCCATGCCGCTTCTTCTCATAACCCATTCTTACACACCCGTTATGCCTGGGTCAAGGTTCTGTGAGTCACTCAAATGACAGTGTATCCCAAGTTATACACGCATCAGGACCACGAGGTTGTACTATTATGACTATTACATCCGACTCGTCAATGAAAGGACAAAGGACTTTCAGGTATAAGTATCAGCATCGCATATATATACGGGCAAAATATACTTCTACACTTTCTTTACAGGGACAGTAAGAGCTTTATCTGCAAGCTCTATATTCTCACTCGAAATGGTGGTCATCACACGTAGCCAAGGTCACAAAATTGTTGAACAGGTGAGTATATGTTTTGTCATGCTATAATATTCAACCTGAGTTCGACCATTCAAACTATAGATGGCGCTTCGGAGAGCTGTCCAGGTATTTTATCATCCAGCTTTTCTATTTTTCTGTTTTTGAATTTCTTTCGTCCTTTCTAGTCTGTCATCTTTGTAATACATGCAGATTTCCTTGATTCCTTTCTCGATGCGGCGTTATATAACAACAACCTCGCCACATCCGTACAGTCACTTCACATTATCTTCCATCGCACCTTCCCCCCTATCCCAAAGCTGTGCCGATGTCTACTTGCAATCAGAAATGTGGTAGACTTGGAACTGCAGCTTCCTCGTGCCTCAGCCGCTAATTGGGTCCGCTTACTACGAGGGATCCGTCTACCCAGACTTGAACTTTTACATACAGACTGTCCGCCTTTCAGCCTCGCTCAATTTCTTAATGAGCACGCTGCCATCACGCACTTGAACATGTCAGGTCGAAACTATCGAGGACACGATTATTACGACTAGCAAATACCCGTTTGTCCTTCTGTCTGAAATTGAGGGTCCCTCTCTGCGTAACGTCTCTGGTGCGGGATAGTCCCACTAGTCGAGTAGCAGCACACTGCGTCAATAATGCAGACTTCGCGCTGCCTTTGATTTGTCTACTGTCATCATCATCCACTTCAACCACGGCTTTAACAGTTCTCCAGTTGGATTTTGATCCGACTGATTACGACCTTCTTCGGCGCATAGCGAATGCCGCTCCATTCGTTACAACCCTGAAACTGGTGGAGAGAAGTCGAAGTGTATCTGTAAGGACCTTTCTTCTAGCTACAATAACCGATAAGGCTCATAAATTAGCACCTGCAGGCCCGAATGCCTCGTCTGCGCCGAGCTTGGAACTTTTACCACCAATGGGCGCAGGACCTCGCACAACTGAAGCGATTGCATCGATTTGCGCTTAAAACATCACTGTCCATGGTTCAGAACCCTGGTTCAGATGAAGATGAAAGGAAATTGTTGACCCAGTGGCGCCTTGACCATTACAGTACACACGACTGGATATATGCATGGGACCAGCCTAGCGTGTTGCGGCACCTCACATTATGGTATCTAGCTGAGTCGAAGGCTGGCATTTTGAGTAGTTGGGATATGGTAGATGGATGTTGGCTTAAGACAAGGGGTTATTTAGATCCCCCTGCAGACGCTTTCTGTTGAATAGCCTTAGTAGCTGATTGTGTCTATTACTGAGCGACTGTTAAGTATTATACATGGATTATAATTCGCTATCAGATATTGTGAAGTCGTAATCCTTGTCAACAATATCTAACTTGTCCCGCTGCCACCCACGCAAATCTTTCAACCAGTTGCTATCATAGCAATTTCGCCATAAGCCGCGTGGAGCGTGCCCTGGCTCGCAACGATTAGATGCTATCCGAATGCGAGGGGCATTTCCTGCTGTAGCACGACGGCCATGAGGGTTCCTCCAGTTCTCCCTGTAAATATGGTCGAGCTTCCGCATAAAGTCCTTCATTTCTGGACTTTGCCAGTGCGGCCTACTGATGAGGTATGTTTTGGGCGCCCCTTGCACCTCATTGTCCGTCTCGTCTCCACTCATTGCCGTCGCATCAAGTAACACCAAAAGGTTGTTTTCGTGGCGCTGAAGTGATGCTCTCGACCCGCAAGCTTTAAATCGACTATCTAGAAGCTGTGTCGGAGTAGTAAGTAATAAGCTATAGCAACGAGTAATCAAGTATGTACCGTAGATTTGCGCGCATTCTGAGCCTTATGATGGAGCAGTTGGGTGTGTTTTATCTTCGAGTATGAAGCATAGATGCTCCGGGAGAGGAGGGAACATTGGACATGTGTCTTACAAGGGAATGTATAACTCTTTAAGTAGGCTAGAATTTCAGAGGACGACCAGAGTATATAAAAATTCCATCCTGGACACATTGCGTAAAGCGCTTGACAAAGCATTGATGCGGTCAGTGATGGTAGGCAAATGTCCTCCAGATGTCTCACCCGGCATTGCGAAACAATCAAGGCATGTGTTTTATAGCACCTTCACCCCCGATTACGAATTCACGAGGATAACAAATGCC